GCATGGCATGGCCAAGCCTAGCTGCCAGCACCTCAAACTCCTGGCTCAAGCAACCTTCTCCTCAGCCTCCAGTAGCTGGGACTACAGCATTTGTGCCACCAATGCCCCAGCACTAATTTTTTTCTATATTATATTTAGTTGCCAATTAATGTTCTTTCTATTTTTTTTGTAGTGAGACGGGGTCTCACTCTCTGCGTCGGGAGCTGGTCTCGAACTCGCTGATCTTTGGAGCGATCGGCCCACGTCAGCCTCCCAGAGTGCTAGGATTGACAGGGAGCCACCCGGCGCCCAGCTAGAATTGTAAAATACATATGTGCTCATAGTTTGTGTGTGCGTAGGGCTGAGCACTGCGATGGAAAGAGGGTGAGTGAGCGGTGTGATAGAGGTGTTCCATCTTGGGTGTGAGCTGTGTAGTGCTGTCCGCGTGGCGTGATTGAGGGCTGGTGAGAGGCGGTTGGTGAGTATGAGTGTAGAAGGTCGAATAGATAAATAAGAGTAGCGATGTAGTGCTGTGTGTGTGCGTGGAGAGAGTGTCGTGTGTGTAGTGTTGCATATAGAGAAGCAGGAATGAGGCGATGTGAAGTGTGAGGGGTGTAGAAAAGAAAGAGTGCTAGGAGGGTCAGGTGGGTGTCAGGGTGAGTAGGAAGGGCGATGCTGTGTGTGTAACATTCATTCTTTGGAATGGGATAAAGAGCTCTGCGAGTGAGTTGTGTTTACTCTAAGTATAGTTTCCCAATACGTATCTATTATAACCTAAATCCTACTGTTTCCAGATGTTACTAGACCACCAAAATTTAACTGTTAATATTCAACTGACAATATACAAGTCGTGTATGTGTGTGTTTTGTTAAGAGAGACATTATTGCATATATAAAAACAGGCCAAGTTAATTATTCTTCGAGGAGATTAATATTTTGTAAAAATAGTACTGTGGATTCTGTGTGTTTTTAATTTTATTGATTTGTTGCATACAGTTAGAATGTTAAATGTCTAAGCATATAGTGTGTTCTGCTGGCGTTATGTATTTGTTACTATCTTACTGTATACTCAAATACATTTATTTTCTAATGGTAATTATATTTTTTGCATTTAATACAATATAAATGGTTTCTAGATGTTTATTAAAACAGTGAGTGTTTAAATACCCAATCTTATTGTCTTTCAGATTTTTGAATTCCAATGGAAATCTTCCAAATGTCCGGAGTTCTTCTGAGATCTATGGCCTAATTGTAAAAAACAACCACAAAACAACTTTTCTCATTAAAAAAAACTTTACTCTTCAGAATTCAAAGGTCAATGGTTGTTCTGTTGTTATTAGTTTTGATTTGTGACTTTTCTGTGAATGTCATAGCATGTAAGATAAGAATTTAGTATTTTTTAAATAATATTATAACTTAAAAACCTTAAAGTCCTTCTACCAATTGATTTTTACACATAACTTTAATTACTTTTTTTGGAGTAATAAAGTATTAATGGGATAATCTTTAGGGCCTGGGAATGTTGAGCCAGTTTAGTCTTTCAGTCTAAATAACTTTTAGTAGTTGTGATGTCTGCTTTTAATTTAGAAGATGACTATTCACGTGTAGCGACCTGTTTTTTCCGTTTGAATTTTTTAGATGTTAGATTATTGGTTATATTAGATTCTTTGTGTCCCCCTAAGCAAAATTTCGCAGGAAGAGCCATGGCACTCTAGCCTGTGCAACAGAGTGAGACTCTGTCTCAAAAAAAAAAAAAAAAAATTAATTAAAATAAAAAAAAATATTTTAGTAGCTACATTGAAAGAGTACTGACTATCTTGTCAGAGCAATTCTAGCTACTTAATGGTGAAACAAAAGATTAGTTTTGTTTTCATCTCTTATCTTTGGAAAACCTTATTAAATTGGGCAAGGTGAAATAAATCGAAATGTGTGTGTCTTAAGGATCTTAGAGAACCCTGTGTTGTTGTTATCTTTGTTTCATTTTTAAATAACAATTCTATTAAGCTATGTCTGTACTCACCCAAGCATATATCCTGAAAGCAGAGTTTTAAAAGCTCTTTCTCAGGTGTACCCTCATACCTGAACTGGAAGCACAGCTGCCTTCCTTTATGTGGAAGCAATTTAGAAGTAAGAAAGGAACAAAGGTGGATAAACAGTATCTCCTGGGGTACAGCCAAAATGTGTTCCCTTGAGTCTCTTACAGCTCACAATTCCCAAATCCTGCCTTTCTCTGATTCAAGGCAATCGTCAGAGCTACTCATTCAACTGTGACTGACACACGTGAAAACAGCTGGCCATGAGCACAAAGCACAACCTGCTCTGGCCAAGCACAGGGAGGGGTGGAGAAGGAGCTTCTTCCTTGGTAGCAGTTCTGAAAGGCCTGCCCTGTGGATCCAGCGAGTGAGAACAGGGACAATATTCTCTTGAATGTTGAAAAAGATCATTGCACACTTACTGAAGCATTTACAAATGAAATTATATGTCTGGGGTTTGCTTTAAAATTATCTGTGGGGAGAAAAGTTTGAGTCTAGTTGACACAAGATTGGCCATAGGTTGATGACAGCTGTAGCTGGCTCACTGTTGCAGAGGTTTATTATATTATTCCCTCTACTTTTGGGAACACTGGAAAATGCCCATAATAAAAATAACAAAGAATGAGTGAGAGAGAGAGAGAGACACACAGACCTTGCAACCATCACAAACTAATGACCATAACCATGTACTTTTAAGATATATCTTAGAAATGTTTGAAATGTTCCTTTCTACTCAGTCATGTTCAGCTTAGGCAAAAAGATTCTATAACAAAAATTTCCACTATGATTTAGTTTCATATAATGGCTTGATTATATAGGAGACAGCTGTGTGATGTTGAAAGAGAATGATAAAAGTAGCCTAGGTGTTTTGTCATGTTAAATAGTTATTTATTCTGAGAAATGGCTAGTGAGAAAGAAGTGTGATGGGCAAGAGAGAAAGGCTACCTAAATTACTTATCCTAACGATAACAGATGTGAGATATAGTTTTGATAATTATCCTCCATTTTCACTGAAATAAGGCAAGAAGAAATAAAAAGGAAGTAGGCAAAACTGCCTCTCAAATAGAAGCTGAAATGTTCTGTTGCTATTTCAGTGGTTTTTCTTAATGCTGCTAACTAAAAAGTTTGAACTGTTAATAGAAAACATTAGACAAGGCAGTCCAAAAACATTTCTAAAAAAATTCTCCATATCTACATTATATTTAAACATACCCAAATAAGCCATGAATCGATGGTCCCAAAAAGAGCTCTATTTTCTTCAACAGCCTTTTGAACTTTTCTCACGTTGTCAAGGATCCAACGAAGTTTCACTGCACTGAAGTAAGTGCTAATTGGAAGGCCTGTCTTGGACTAAAACAGTTATGGAGTTCAGTCAGCAAATTACATTTATAACAGTTTAAAACAAAACCACTAAACCAAAGAATTTAACAAATCACAAAATATTTAATGGCCCTAAAGGCAATCCCATAGTATTATAAATGAAACTTTTCCTATCTCATGGCACAGGAAAACGTGTTCATGAACAAAGATCAGGCCAATATGTTTGCAGTTCAAAGAGCATCCACGTAGCAAGGTAAAGAGGAAATTAAACGACATAATGGCCTGTAATTAGATAGTGACAACACAGATGTTAACTTTTCTGGTAAATTAGTATTGCATGTCAAACCTAAGCCAAAGCTCTGCTGTTTATTTTGTATTCCATGAAAGTGATGGAACTACCATATTGAAAATCAGAGAGTATATCAAATCACAAACTAACGACCATAACCAGAAAATTTTGTTTTCAAATATATAAGACTTAATAACAACAATATATCTTTTGTATGTACATATGCAGATTCAAATAAGTAATGTAAAATTAGTGGAGGCTAAAGTAGAGCTCAAAGACATGCCAAATTAAAGCAACATAAAGTTGCTCTATGTAAGAAAGCATTTGTCTAAATTCAGCAAATACACTGAAGAGATGGAATGTGGACCTAATAAAGGGTAAAATAAAACGCATACGAACTTACTAATATTCCTTGAGAATGGGTCAGATCCAGCTCTTATTTGTGTTAATATATTAAATATTAAATTTATTTCTAAGGAATGATTAAAGTGGTTAAGAAAGTACATATACAAAAGTAATGCAACTCTTTCCCTTCCCTGACCTACTCTCATTTATTGCCTAACTACAGAAAGTGATACCTTTCTCTTTCTTATCTCATAGAGTATAAGAAAATTCAAACCAAAGGATTTAATACTTTAATGCAACTTGTATGTTAAGAATCTTAAGGTTTGATAGCTTTCCTAGACAAATAAAAAGGATCAATGTTCAAAAATAATGGAAAGAAATGATTTATGAAAATATACTTGATTTGATGGACCAAGGATCATTTCACACGATAACCAGGGAATATCTTATAAAGCCAATAATGAGATAGTACATAATATTTTATGTCATGATATAGGTAGAAAGTGTAAAAGTTCCCTGAAATGGCATCAGAGAGAAAAACATGTATCCCTTGAAGCAGAGTGCAGCTGGAGGTGGGGGTGACGGTTAGGCAAGATAACAAAGACAACAGAATAGAAAATGGCTTATTCAGGACAAGCCTGAAGTTATTGGGGCAGGGCTAGGGCATGGAATGTTTGTTAGATTGCTGCAATTAACAGGTTTTAAAAACTAGCTTCCTAACCAAGGACCAAGAGAAAATGCCATAAGAGTCCTACTGACAAATTAAGGAGATAAATTAAAAAAAAAAAATGAAAAACAGAAAAAGGGAATTTCCTTTTGGATCCGAGAAGAACTTGGCCTTGACCTTATTAAGAAAAATGCCTTGGATCTTTGAAAAATTCTGTGAAGAGAGATCTAAACAAGGACTGAAAATTAGGCAATTTTTATGAGCCTTCTTCATATGAAGAAAGTGGAAGAGGAGTTCAATAAAGGGCGAGAGTGTCTTCTACCTTCTCGAAAGCACCTAGAGCTTTTTTTGAAAGCTATTGGGATGGATTTGGAAAGCACAGTTAAATTAGGGAAAGGATCCCTTGGGGAGTATGGCTTAAACCACACATTATAATCCCCTGCAGCCTGTCAATAGTGGGGTATTATTGTTCTAATCTACTACAGGGCAAAAAAGACAGGAAGGTAAAGACTTGAGCTGACCTCAATTATCTGAGAGAAATATTCTATAAATAGTATCAAATAACTATTATGCCATAGATGCAGGGCCCACATGGTCTTTCTGGAGAAATCTGCAAATTTTTTTCAAAACAAACATTCTTATAGCATACTTTCAAAGAGATTTCTTACCTTGACAAAATTATTATTTCCTGGAATTTTCTTACTAAGACTCTCGACGGTAGACTGGGTTCTTAGATCAAGCCATACTACAGACCAAAACATAATAACATATATGAAAAACATCATTATAAATAAGAACGTAATGAAATCACTGTCAAGGATAGGAGACTGATTAGTTTCTATAAGCAATTCAAATGCTATAGCTTTTGAAAGAAATTAGAAAATTAGAAACAAATGAACATATTGTTAGAAGAGAATAAATTTATAAGTGAGAATTTAAGGCTTTTATGCAAAATTACAGACCAAATTAGGAGAACAATACAAACCTTAGGGCACTTATTTTGTATTCGTTTTATAGAAAAAAATTTGGAATATAAATTTTCTAAGCACACATGAGGGCAGAGAAGATCTAAAAGCTAGGCAGGCTAGTTGGCAGTGTAAAATGCACAGCCCAGGATCACTGCATCATGTATAAAGTGTGTATCTTAAAAAACTTGGGAACAATTTGTGACAAAGACAAAGTAGAGAACATTATCCTATTATGAAGCTAACAAAAGAGTTAGTCTGTCATATACGAAATGTTTATTTATATTAAAATCTTTCAAAGTATGCTAGACCTGGGATCACTGAAATAATTTTTTAAAAGTCACCAGTCTTTCTCTATGCTAAGGATTGTTGAAAAACCATTTCCATTTTAACAGATCTACATTATCTTTACTAAATAGCTATTGTCCACTTTCTGATCCCCTAGTAGAAAGTATTTCTGTTTTGTTTCATGACAGAAAGCTTGAGAAAGAGAAAACATTAAATATTGTAGTATATAAAACAATTGTGAAAGGTAACTAATAGTCAGCTGAGCTTTGTTTGTCAGACTGAATTTTTGTACATAACTTTTGTAACTTTTAATCTATTAGTGGTCATTCGATATTTTTAGGACACTGTGCTCAGATGCCTCCAGAAAAGACTCAGCCCATAGTCTATTTAAAGGTCTCCAGGGAAGATTATACAAGCTTGCCCACTGCACATTTGAATGTTGGCAGTAATTGCCTAGTTTGATTCATTCTTAAATATATTATTCTGTTCTATTCATTCATAAGCCAGTTCTTTTCTGTAGTAAATTTGAGTCAATTCTTTCTAAATATTTAAACCATCATTTCCCTGAAGGACCTTATGCTTGATTCTGACAATGGTTACCATGAGATTTAAATCAGGGACTTTGGGACAATATATTGGTTTCTGTACATATGAAAAGCAGCAAGAAAAGATGCATCACAACCAAGAAAATAGGAAGAAAAAGAGAAAGACCATGGAAATAGATGGCCTATAGATGACATCTACATTTGCTGCTCAGCATCCACTCCTCCTGTGTCTAGGAGCAGTATTTCAAGTGTTCTTTAGGAAATCAGCCCTCCCTCATCGTCAGCCACAAGGTTTGCCTGAGATGTGATCCTAACCCTAGCTCCAGGATTGGGTCTGGACCCCAGTGATTGGTTCAGGAGAGAATATGTGGTCAAATAGCCCAACTGAGATTTGTGCTCAGTCTGTAAGAGTCCCTCTTCTCAGCTGAGCTTGGCAGTATGTGGCTTGGGCCTGTTGCTCCCATGAAGAGAGAGCTGAATCTGCTACATCAGGAGCCATCCCAGGAAAGACAGACTTCAGTGGGGATGGAAGTGACACTGCGTGAGTCCAGAATCAAACAGCACCTGAACTAAGCTACACTTGGATCACTGTTCCATAAGGAAAAGAATTTTCTTTAAAAAAACCCTTCATTGTGCTCACAGTAGGAATGGGAAGACAGAATATAAAATAATAATAAATAAATAAATAAAACCTTCATTTAGTTGAGATTGAATTTTCTATTATTAATACTGTGATTAATACAAGCCATTAGTGACATCATCATGGAGGTGGCAATATCTCCCGTGTCCAGAGAACAAAAAGAGTCCACTTTTTACACAGAGGCGGTCCTGTGTGACAAAAGTGGACCTTCCTTACAGGCAACCCTAGCAAGTGTTAGTGGCTTAACAGGAGTAATTGGGAAAAGTAGAAGAATTTTAAAAAGTTTTAAATCTGTGGTAGGTAGAATTACCAAGCATATCTCAATTCTCAGCATTTGAAACTACAATGAGCTCTGAGTTTATAAAGCAATTTGGTAAGTTTTGATTACCTACTTTTAAAAAAATGAAATAGGGTGAATTGGAATGGAAAATATCAGAGTTCACTGCACTTGGTAAGACAAATATTGATCTGTGAAACTTACGTTTTAGTTATATGGATTTGCTGAATCATGATGTAAATATATTTCTTACCAAGGGACGGGAACAAATACATTTGAAAGCCACTGCTGTAGGCTTTTTGTTTAATGACTTAAAACCTTCTAGACCAGTGTTTTCCTTTTTTTTTTTTTATGACTTTAATGGATATAACGTTCACTAGGTAACTTAAAGGTAGGCCCCATTCCCAGAAATTCTGAGAGGTCTGGGAATGGGGACCAGAAATATGATTTTTAAATACATGCCCCCACTTTGAGAAACACTGCTTGACTCTACAGCAGTGGTTCTTACCTAGAAAGCATACCAGAACTACCTAGAAAACTTTGAAAACACACATCCAGGCCCTATCTTGAAGGATTCTGGTCGCAGGTCTAGGAAAAGTATCCCACATTATTAAGTATAATACTAAAACATGAGAACATCTTTTCTAGGGCATGCATGTTCTTTAGGATATTAGGTATATTCCAATCATTTACTTAAAAACAAAACTCAAAAAATGACAATCAGGTGGCTCCCTGAGTCCCAGTGGCTCTGTAACTCTATTGCTCCTTGACAAGGACCATGTAGGTAACTGGGCACTTTATTACTTAATTGAAAGTTTGCAATGATGAATGACAACAGTGGTATCCACAGAGTTAAATCTTCACCACAAAGAATCAAAACACTGGATGTGAAATCAGAAGACGAAAATTCTATGTTTGGGTTCACCACCAACAGATTATGTGACTTATGCAACTCTTTTATCCTTCTTGGCCTGGATTTCCTAAATATAAAATAAGGAGGTTGGACTAGATGGTCTCTAAAATCCTTCTCCTTCTATTGTTCTGTGATCACAGAAGGCTGTCATGACATTTACTTTGTTTTTACAGCCAAAGACTTTAAGGCAATTAGAATACATGGAATGAATTAGTAAAACTGCCAAAGAGAAAAATGTCAGTGGTTGGTACACTACCAAGCAATTCACAAATGCTCACAATTAATTAAATTAACAACAAAAAGATTAGAAAACTCATTAAAGTAGCTAAGATGACAGAATTAGATTTGCAGAAGAGACCAAAGCCAAAGAGAAGATCCCAAGCTGGAGGACTAAGCCCCTTGTGTAGGTAATTTCTGACAACAATCAAAAGAAGTGGCAGATCGAGATCCAACAGTAGCAATTTCCCCCAACATGTCTGAGTTGGAAGGCTGGGAAGTGAACAACAGCCAGAGCACCAATACCTGAGGAAGTACGAGCAGCCGGAACTGAAGAGCCAGAGGGAACAACGGCAACTGGAACTGAAGGGCCAGGAGAAACTGGAGCAGCTGGAGCATTAGAAGAAATAAGGGCAATTCATGCTAGAGATGGCCAGATTCAAGGTCTCTTGCTGACCACTTAGGAAATGGTTAGATCACTTGGACAAGTTCATCAGGATGAACATTTTTCTACACATTTGAGTGTAGAAAAAGAAAAGGAAGAGACATGGAGTAGAAAAGGAACAAAGGAAGTCCAGTCCAAATCTCTGGTTCAATAGTATTTCCATTTGGATGAAGACCAGGTAAATAAATACCTGCTTCTTGCTTAGGATGACTCTTGCCTACCTGGCAACATACATGCATCATAATTAGAAAAGTGCCTTTGTTGGTTACTGAATGTTCACTCAACCACTAAATTGAAATGATGTGTGATGTACTGAGGGTGCACAACTGTAGGGGTTGTCAGAAAGGAGTGATAAGGAGCATGCTACAATCTGTTGTGGCCATCTGCAGTAAGACATGAAATGGCTGCTTTGGGAAAACAGGGACCCAAGAAAGCACTTTTCTAGTTGGGTGGCTAAAGGTAAAGGCCACTTCCACAGAAAGGGACAACATATCTAGAGGGAATAAGGAATTGCTAACTTCCAAAGTGATTAGGAAAAAATAAAAGAAAATAGATGCTAGGGAGTCCAGAACACTATACAACCTGCTTCTAGAAGGCATGTCCTACACCAAGCATATTGAAATTAAATGGTCCAGACCATCAAATGAATAGGTTAAAAAAAAAAAACTTGGATGATCTGAAACTCACTTGTATTAAACAAAGTCACATCCAATGTCTGGTAGATTTAGTTTGTTCTGAAAAAAAAGTTTTAAGAGTAAAGAGAAATGTAGTCACTTTAATCTTCATGGACCAGGGTTAGTTTAATGATGCAGTAACAGTACAGAAGAAGAAATTGTTTTTAGAATATTTAGAAAATATAAAACTTTAAAAATTTGCATAATGTTTGGTTAGTTGTAACCACAGAAGGAAAAAGCATCTAAGAAACAAAATAAAATCTAAACAAAAAACCACAGAGATAATCTATTTCTACTTGACTAGAAACAAAGGCAAATAATAAATCTCCTCTGAGATGGTTTGTTATGAGGAGCTTCTAGGGTTATGGGAAGTGAAATGAAGGTTATGTCCTCCAGGTTATGGAACACATCCTAAGCAAGGACTGCTGACAGTTATGCAAAATGTTATTGGGTCGTTTCCCTAACAAGAGACAAAATAATAGTAAAACAGATTCAATTGCTATGTTTTACCATTTGCCAAAAGTTAAGCTATTAATCAAGCTGCATAACAGGTTGTTTACAAGGAGGAAATGACTATATTGATGACTGCCCATCACCTGATGACATTATCAGAAACAGGTGGGGCCAAAAGAAAAATGGAGGGGAAGGAAGTCGTAAATTAAACCCATTTCCTCTCATACACATGTGTGCGCACGGACACACACACACACACACACACACACACACACACACATACACACACACACACACACACACACACAAAACGCCAAAAGGTGGGTGCT